TGGCTGGCCTGGGGCACCCGTTTCTCGGGGTCTGGCGTAAATCCCTGCCCTGCCCTGCCCTGCCCTGCCCTGCCCCAACGTGTCTCATGCATCTGCACCAGTGCTAGGCTGCAGGGTTGCAGGGACTGGACAAAGAGCCTGCTGCTTGCTCCAAGCCCACGCAGCCGGGAGCCTCTGAACAAGAACGAAGCAGAGCCCTCTCCCACGGCAGGCAGGGACCGGGGCGCTTGGGCAAGTCATGCAATGCAATGGAGCTGGATGGGGCAGGAGGGGCTGAGCATGGGTTTTAACCCCCTTCACCCCACCGCACTCCCTTCTGGGCCATCTCTGTTTACACCTGCTGTGTGCAGCGGGGACCCAGAGATGGATCTGCCTGGGGCCGTGAATCACCCTGATTCCTGCTGGATGGCAGGATCGGGTCCCAGACGGGGCTGGGAGGGGAAGCACCTAGTTATCCATGAAGCCTTAACCAGGATACCCTGAGTGATGGGTACAGCTCGTGACATCTGCCCAGGCATCGGGTCCAGGTGACCTGGCACCTGGGCTTGAAGCAGGTCAGAGGCAGGGCACTGAGGGAGAGCGGGGCAGGGGATGGCATGTACTTCCCATCCGATGAGCAGGCTTTCACCATCCAGCTGTGGTTGTCCCCAGCCAGGGGCCATGTCTCAGCTCCCAAATGAGCTTCTCTCAGCTTCCCTGACCTGCCCGCTCTCTCCCCAGCAGCCGTGAGGATGGAGAACAAGGCCATGTACCTGCACACCTTCGGCGAGCGGGAGAACGGCTCTGTCTTCGAGGAGACCTTCGAGGGCCGGAACCTGTCCAAGCTCAACCTCTGTGAGGACGGTGAGTCCAGGACCCCCCATCCTGGCCCTCGGGGTCTTCCTGCCCTGTGGGAAATGGGGCTGGGTCTCTGCCCTCCTCTCCCACTTACTTTGCAATCACCCCATGCTGAGCTGGTGCCCGGCCGGGTGCTTCAATGCAGCCCAGAGGAACTCGGAGTCAGGCTGGATGCCCCCAGCCGGGTCAGGGGTGCAGGCACCTGGGGGAGCAGCTCTCGAACACCCTCCATCCCCAGGTTCAGCTGGGGTCATATGAGCCAGCCCAGCTGGAGCAAGGGTCCGCTTCTGGGAGAGGGTGGAGCAGGAGAGGCTGGAGGGGAGCGTTGCCAGCAGGGCGGGGGGAGGGTCCCCTGGCCCCTCCAGCTGAAGCACGTGTCCTGCAGCTGGTGCGTGTGGTCAGGCTGGGCTGCGTGGGAGGCCCTGTCCGCCCACCTCGCCCGGGGGTGCAGCTGCCAGTGGCTCCAGCCAGGCCCCGAGGTCAGAGCCAGCTTTGAGCTGTTTGCTGCAGCCCTTGGAGTCCCACCTGCAGCACCAGCTAGCAGGGCCCTGGCACTGCCCTCGGTAGAGCTTGGGCATGCGTGACACGGACAGATGTGCTCCCACCTCTGCACCCACCGTCCCCACTGCCACCGACACTGCTGTGTCAGGGGAATGACCGTGGCGGGAGCATTTCACACGTCCCCGTCTCTGCTGCCTACAGCAGGCAGCTGTCGTCTAAAGGGTGGAAGTGCTCCTCCGCCGGCCGGGACACCTGGGTTCTCCTCCCACCTCAGCTGCATGACCCCCGGTCGGTCACTTCCCCATTTCTTCTCCCCCCCACCTGTGTCTCGTTTGCTGTGTGGGTTTATGAGCCCGTTGGGGCAAAGGCTGTCTCTCCATGTGTCTGTGCAGTGCCTGATGCTGGCCCTTCTTTGCGTGATAACGGGTTCTCCGGGTATCCCCCAGGAATAAGTCCCTGGACACAAGAAGTACTTCCCCCTTCTGCTCCCTGCTGCTGGGCGGGGAGCAGAGACCCCTGGGCGGTGCAGTGGAGGGGATGGGGGGGAGCTGAACTGCAGTCAGCTCCTTGACCTCAAACCCTGACTCTCCTCTCAGCTGAGGCAGGCATGGACCAGCCTCAGTTTCCTTCACTTCTCACAGTTTGAGGATGCAGGAGGAAGAGGACCAGAAGATGACCCCATGCTTTCTGACCTCGCTTTCTCCAAGCGACACGCACATGGGGGGACATTGAAGCCTTCCCCCACCTGCGCGGTCTGACCCTAAATAGGTCAAGAATCACTCCCATAGGATCATAGGAAAATCAGGCTGGAAGGGACCTCGCAGGTCATCCAACCCAGCCCCCTGCTCAAGGCAGGATCAGCCCTGACCAAATAAGCCCAACCGCATGTCTGTCCCACCTGCTTTTGGAAATTTCCAGGGATGGAGACCCCTGGTCCTCCTCAGAGCCAGAAAGTCACTCCTCATTTCCAGCCTCAGTTTCCCCTGCTGCAGCTTGAGGTCACTGCTCCTAGTCCCACCTCCTTGTACCATCCTGGGACAAGCCAGGCCTAGCCTGCTAAGCTGCCAAAATTAGATGGGGGCAGGTGTGGTCAGTCTGGAGGGGCCACGTCCTCCCATCCCCCGTGGGGGGAACAGAGGTGCAGCTTCCAAAGGGACATGCCCAGAGCAGGCAGCACAGGTGGGATCATAACCGGGGGCGGTCCTGGCTCTGCCCCTTCCATCCACAGTTTTACAACGGCTCAGGGATGCATGGTTCCCAGTGGAGCCTGGCCCCAGGTGGAGGAGACGGGGTGGTGATACCCATAGTGGTGTGGTAAGGGGGTCCCAGCTCCAGGCCCACACTCTGGGGAAGGTTGGGCAGCTCCATCCATCTTCTCACAGGGACGCTGGCATGTGTGCAGGGTGCTAGGTGGGCACGAAGGAAAGTCCTTGCTCCAAGTACCTTATAGCCCAGCACACGGGTGGGTTAAAAGGTGGCAAGCGGGGTGGCTGCCTGACTAACAGGGCTGTGGGGCTCGTGTCCTGTTGGAGATCAGCTCTTGCTGGCATTCAGGGTACCCAGCCCCGCATGGCTATGCCAGCAGCTCTGCTAAACCAAGCTGCTTGGTGGCTATGCCCAGCCTGAAGTCACATCGTGAGTCAATGACACAGCTAGGAAGAGAAGTCCTGGCTCCCAGCCTCTTGCTCTAACCACTGGGCTCCTCTGCTTCTTGCTGCTCCTTCCCCAGATGTGAGAACAGATTTATTGCAAAAGTGTTACAATGAGCTAGCATGCAGGGTTTTCCTGGGGGCAGGGTACATGCTGCATGTTCCCCCCGCACTGCAGAGCCCTTGTAGAAACTGGTCTGACTCTTACTTGTGTCTCCTGCTGGTCTGGGTCCTACTTAGGGCAGTAGAGATGGGAAATGCGGGGTGGAAGGGCTGGAAGCTCAAAAGAGGGAATTGTGGGGCTCCTGCTGGCCGACCTTGGGGTGTGTCAGTGTCAGGCATGCAAAGCCAAGCTGCTGGGGTCAGGCCGGACCCGCCACGGGGGGCTGAGCGTCGGGGTCATCATGTGGGTAGCAGGCAGCTGCGGGACCGTGAAAGCCATTGCAGCCCTGGTACTAGTGTAGACAGAGCCCTGGTGCAAATCGGCAGATTCCACTGACTCCACCAGCCCAAGCCTTGGTGGCGCTGGGGACACACCTTTTGCTCCCAGAACCTGCCCCTCCAGGTCCCCATGGGACTGACCCAAGTTCGAGCATTGCAGAAACGTGGCAGCCCTTCTTGGGACAGCCCAGTCTGTCTGGCCAGCACTGGCAGCTGGGACCCATGGGCTGGTAATGAGTTGCATGGGTTGGGGACACAGTGGCCATCTCATGCCCCCAGCACCACCACCCTGGGGGCTTCCTGGGGAGGTCGGGGGCATCTGGGAGAGTTCATGCTGGTGACTCTAGCCCCTCAGCATCCCCCAGGCTGGCTACGGCCTCTTGTCCCAAAACCTCTGCTCTTAGGTCAGCCCCCAGCTTAGCCCTCGGAAGGCAGGAGGCTTTTGCGCACGAGTTAGCTATCCTCAAGTTCAAGGTCGCACACCGGCTGCCCGACACTGCACCAACCCCTCAGCTTATAGAAGAGATGGGGAAACTGAGGCACAGATTCCTGGCCACAGCCTTTGACTTGGGCTGGGCTCCTGGCCTGCCTTGCCCTGGGGGCTGGTGCTTTGCTGCTCACCTGAATGGGCCAAAGCTTCTCAATGAAGTGTCTGAGGCCAGAGGCTGCCTGCGGGCAACACGCCTCTTGGTCATCGCTGCCTCAGTTTCCCCCTGAGCGCTGGGGGAGAAGCTGACTGAGCCCCTACCCTGATTTGGGCAGACAGTTGGGTAGCACTGGTGGGTTTGGTCGGCAGGGCCCTCGGCATCTGGTGCTGGGAGATTGCAAAGCCTCGTTCGGAGGACATCAGGGAAAATGAGGCAGGGAGACTGACCCAGGCAAAGCAGCTGAACAGGGAACCCTGGATCCCAGCCCGCTACTTTCCTAGCATGGCCACCTGCCCAGAAGAGCTGCCCTCTGCTTGGGAAGGGAGACGCTAGTCGCAGCCCCAAGGTCAGGGCCAGGCTGGGGGAAGCGCTAAGCTCCAGGCACTGCAACGCCCAGCCCCCCAGGGTGCCGGTCTCTGCACCAGCCTGCGCCCGCTGCCGTGCTCCCAAGCCTCCCAGCCAGCCCTGGCACAAAGCTCCTCTGTGCTGGAGCCCTATGGGTGCTGGCAGGGCACCGGAAATGAAGTCACAGTAACCTGAGCTGGACCAGTGCATGGGGCTGGGGCTGCCCTGGGAGAGGGGAAGAGACAGGCAGACCTCTACCCCTTGCACTGCCTCATGCTGCTGTCCCCTGCAGCTGAGCAGGGCGGCTGGGAGGTGAGGCTGATGGTCTCCCCTGTGCAAGGGTCCAGGCTGCGTGATGGGGTACACTCCCCTCGGGTGCCCCACCAGTTGCTGCAACCCGGTATATCCCTCCTTAGGGTGTGGGAGCTGGGAGCAGGGTGCCTGCAGGGCTGGGGGCCGTGTCACCGTCGACCCGTGGCAGACAGAAGAGGGTCTGGCTTGAAGATGCAGCTCTGTATTGGTGACCAAGGCAAGGGGAGGAGGAGTGGGGGGCCTGACCTGGCACCACGATGGGTGCCAAGCAGAGGAGAGTGCCTGTCCGGTGCCAGCCTAACGCTCCCTTTGTGCCCAGCAGGTGCCGGTGGCAGGATGAAGGCGGCCCGGCGCTGCGGGCGGCTGGGCTCCCTGGCAGCACTGAAGTATGCCGTGGTCGGGCTGTACCTGCTGGTGTTCCTGATCCTCGTCGGAGTCTTCATCCTGGCAGGTAACGCCGTGTCCACCCTCCCTCTCCACGCTCCCCCCCGCAGCACCGCCTGTCCTCTCCCGGCACATATATATATATATATGCGTGTGTGTGTATTTTTTTTCGTATTTATATATAGAAATAAATACTTTTGCAAGGTCCCGTGGTGACAACGGGGCTTGGAGCAATTAGAGGAAGACTTGTAAGTCTGGGAGGAGTGAAGGTTTGAGACAGCTTGCCAGGCTGAGCTGTGCTCAGACCCAGCATGGTGTGAAGATGGTTTGGTTTATGGGAGGGAGGGTGGGAGAGCAGGGGTGGGTGGCTCGATGATTGGGGGTGGGGGGCGACGTGTGGGATGGTGGATCTGTACCTCCGGCTTGTGCATTGTGGAAAGTGTCCAGCGATTGTATACCTCGGGACTTTGGCTGGTCACCTGCTAAGCTGAGGAAGGGATTTTATGCCCTCATGGTTTGGCTTCTGGTGTGTTGCTTTCCTCCGGGATGTTGGTTGCAGCCCAGGCTGGGGAAGGGGCCTGGGTGTGCCAATGCTCCTGCTGGCACCAACCTTGGAGGGACCTGCCTAGAGGGTCTTACCCCTGTGCTCAGGGTCAGACCGAGGCTGCATTTGGGGTCAGGAAGGAAAGTTTCTGCAAAATTATAGACAATCCCAGAGCAGCAGGGCTGGCAGGGAGCTGCAGAGGTCACATCTATTTCAACCCCTGCCTGAGGCAGGATCAGCCCTGTGCAAACCAGCCCAGACACATCCATCATCTGAACTCTTTGGGTCAGACCAGCCTGGACTGTGTGGGAATGGGGGGAAGTTGCCTTCCTGTGTTGCCTGGGACAGGGTCCTCTTCCTTGAATCCTCTGAACATCTATGAACCAGCTCCTTCCCCAGCTTTGCTGCAGCAGGGCATTGGCAGTGCCCCCGGCCCCCAGCTCTTACCTCCGGCACGTCACAGGGTGGCTTGGGGATTGCCAAATCTGCGCCTCGTATCTGCATGGGAGGGTCAGATAGGATTTAGGGGGGGTCCCAGTGAGCACAGGGGGCTGGACTCAGTGGATCAGGGGTCCCTTCCTGTCTTGTGTCCTTTTGGGGTCTGCGACTGTTCCTGCCCCCTGCCACTGACTTCCTGTATCACCTCGAGCAAGTCCTTTACACAGCAGATCTCCCCATGCCTTTGCACAGGGAGGGGCTGGCTGTATTGCCCCCCCGGGCTGCTGTCGGTGTACTAAAGGGGTTTCAAGGTGGTCAGCAGCAGGGAAAGGCCCAGTGCAACAGAGGGACCCATCTAAAAGCCCTCTCTGCTGAGACCCGTGCAGCAACGGTCCTGGGAACCCAGCGCTGCAGGGTCTCGCCCTCAGCCTGCCTCGCTGCCGCCCCCCTTCCCCGGGACAGTGTTTACAACGCCTCTTAGGATCTTGGGTGTAACCTCGCCAGGATAAAGCAGGCGCGGCGTGAGTCATGCTTGGCCTGGGAGCATCCCTGCAAAGCCATCCAAGGCAAAAAACAAGTGGAGGATTAACGAGGCCCCTGGCACCACCCCAGCCTCCTGCGCTGGCTCTGGGACGGAGCCGGGCGCCTGCGACCGCAGCTTGTTTGTTTGCAAGCCCCGTCCCGGCCCCCACCGCACCCCCATGCCAGGCGGCCGAACGCTGCCAGGCTGGGGGTACGGCTGGATGGGAAGACACAGCTCGCCTGTTGGGCTTCGTTTTGAGAAGCCTCTCACCATGCACCAGCCCCCAAGCCCCCCAAAAGAGAAAGCAGGGAGAGCAATGCCCTTTCATGGTTTCCGGGGTCAGGCAGGGCACAGTCTTGCCCTTGCCTGGGCTGGAAACCGCCGGTGGAAACCTGTGAGTGCTCCCCAGCTGGTTTGCAAAGACCTCTCCGCATTGGCATTGCTTCCCTCTGGCTTGCCTGGTCCGGAGAGCAGCAGGGCTTAGATTGGGCTTGGTCCCTCGCCTGACTTCTCTCGCCAGGGGGGATGTCTGGGGCTCTGGGGCTGTCTGGTGCCAGCTGCTTGTTGACTTTATCTCGGTTTAAGCCTCTGTGTGATGGGCGGGTCGAGAGCCCCAGCCCGTGCAGCGCACGCACGGACCTGCCTCCGGGGCTCAGAGCTGGCTAGGAAAACACCGAGCCCGCACCCCACCCAGGCAGGGCAGGGATCGAGCATCAGATCATCCTTCTCTGGGTTGTGGCTCCAAACGGCTTGCCCCCCAAGGCCCGAGCCCAGGCCTCTGCCATCATCAGGGACCCATCTTCCCTGCCATACCCCAAGCTGCCAGGAATCGTCTCGTGGGGTCCAGCCGTGTTATCGGCTGAGCCCGGAGGATGCTGGAGGAGGCTCGTGGAGCAGGACCCGGCTCTGTCTTGGAGGCTCGTGGTACTGCCAGCCAACGGGGAGCGCACAGCACTTTTGGCCACCTCCTCCGTGGACCCCAGGGCTCATGAGGGCACCCAGGCGCTGTGCCGTCGGCAGGTCTCGTGTGCCTTGACCCGGCAGCAGATATGGCAGCTGGAGTCCTTCGGGCTGTCGGGTTGTTTTCAGCGTTCACGTCGGCCTCGGGAACATAAGAATGGCTGTGTACTGGGTCAGACTGGGTCTGTCTTGTCCAGTCTCGTGCAAAAGCAGAGAGCGGAGGCTGGAGGGGGAGTGACCTCGGTCTCACCAGGTGGTTTTTTCCCCACCCTTTTCCTCTCCCACTTGCAGCCTCCAGCACTGAAGGTCCAGGCAGGTCGGCTGCAGAGGCCATGCCCCTCACTCCCTGCTCAACAGTGACCAATGCCCCCTTTCCTCCAAGCCAGTGTCCAGTCTCAGGATGGATCTGGCTGAGCTCTCAGCTCCCATCGGATCTGATGGTCACAAGCCACAAATTTTAATGCCATGCTAGGTGGAAAAGGACTTCTTTGTGTGCATTTTAAACCAGCGACCTGCTCGTTTCATGTCGTGCCCGCTAGTTCTTGCGCTGAGAGAAAGTATTGCTTTGTCTTGTATTGTGAGAGAGAGGTCCGGGTGCCCCGAGGACACTGAGCTGGCGGGGTGCTCTTGGCCAACGAGGAGCTGCTCCACCCAACAGCCCCATTACAACAGCAGAGAGCCGGTCGGACACGGCTCTCACGATTACAACCCCTGCATTGGGCCAGCTCTTGTTTCTCTTTAAGGCCTCATCTCCTGGAGTCAAGGGATCGTGTCTGAATTGCAACGGCTGGTTGAATGTCCAGCCCCTCTGCTTTCAGAGCACATGAGTGTGTGACCTGCCTTGCACGGCGACCGGCACAAAACCCCACATGGATGGTTTAGCATCAAGCATCCCACTGTTTTTGAGCTGAGCATGTGGGTGTTAGGAGCCAGTGGGCTCGGAGGTGGCCACGCTGTGTCTGTGCTCTCCAGGGTAAAGCCCTCGATCAGGACCTGGCGTGTGCAAGTCTTGGCAAGCTGTGATACGTTCAACCTCTCCTAAGAGCGCGTTGTTTGGAAGACGGTCCCCAGCCCTCCATGAAACAGGAGCTGACCAGCAGAGACAGAAACTGGAGGCGGGAGTCCTGGTTTCCTGTGGCCACGGTTGTAGCTCTGGACTGTGTCAGAAAGGTGCTGAGTGCATGGGTACAGGGCCCCCGACACAGAGAATTGAATTGGATGCTAAAGCCACGCTGGGGCTAGTCCAGCACTTGAGCCCTGTGCTCCCATCTGCCTAGAGGTGAATTGCACCTGGAATGAGCATAAAAAGCACCCAAAGTCAAAGGCAGCATATTCAGGTATTTAAAGGATACAGAGGAAAGCTGAGGAGAGGGTGTGACCGGCAGAAGGAGAGAACGGAAGCAGAGGAAAGAGAGGCTAAAACACCCAGAATGATTTGTTTTAAATAGATTTTAAAATACCAGTTTAAGAAAATCATCTAAGTCATGGTTATGCTGCTTGTAATTATACGCCATCTTCAGCAGGAAGCATTTATTCAGCACCTGTAAGCTACAGAGGCATGCAGGCTCCCACGCGGCTTCAGCTCCTGCTTCGTCTCGCTCGTTTACCAGCGAGGCTGAAACGTGGCTGGATAACGCAGCGATCCCATGATGACTGTGGCAATTCTGGAGAGGCCGGAGCATGTCCAGATCAAAGCAGACATCCCAGGATGAGGCACTGTGGTCTTTATCCACGAGCCTGCAGGTCTTTGTGCACCCGAAGGATTCCCTTACGCAGCGTTTGATATGCGGAGCTCATCATGGCAGGACCAGACAGGTCCATCCTTCCCTGGCCGGTCACTCGGGACACCTGCGGGAAGTGCCACCCCCATGCGGTGTGCTCCACTGGGACCCCCATGAGACACTGCATTGCCAGCATCGCTGTGGGAAAAGCTCGCCTACCTCTAAGCGGAGATTGCTCCAGGTCCCTGCATCGGGGAATGCACCTGGCTTGTACTGGAGGAAGGCAGGGCTGAGCTCCACGAGGCCAGGAGCTCCCAAAGACAAGGGGCTGTCCCATCTACGAGAGGGGCTCAGCTCTCTGCTGTGCAGGGGACGTGGCTGTGACTCCGCACCCCGATGCTTCCTTGGGGATCCAGATTACCCCGCGGGGTCTCACTTGCCCCCAGGAGGCTGCTGGCACCCTCCTTTCCACCACAGTCCCCAACACACCCTGGCAGAGAGGGTGGAGGGGAGTCCCAGACCAGCTCCCAGACTCCCTGGCTCACTCTCTGGCCTCCTGGCACCGGTTTAGCCCAGACCAGGAGTCATCTCCCTCCAGGGCCGTGTTGACGCCCAAGGCAAAAGTTGGTGCTGAGCCTTGGCCCAGGTCTCCTCCCTTGGAAAATCCCAGCCAAGGCCTCAAGGCCAGTGCGGGCATAAAGCCTCGGTCCTGCCGAGCTGCCGGCCAGGAACGATTTCCCCAGCAAGAGCTGTCCATAACCGAAGCATTGGTGCCCGGCTGTGCCCAGAACAGGGAGCAGGGGGAGCGTACCGGGTAGCTGGGTGTCAGATCTGGCTTTCCCAAGGAGACTGCAGGTCTCCCGTGGACAGGTTGTCTTCCT